TTTTTTAAAGAATTTGATTGGCTAGTTCGTTATAACAAGGGTAAATTTAATATAGTTGTTCAAAAAATTCGTTATATAAAAATTCGCTATAGAGAGGTATGACTGTATATCATATACGGAGTCTCTATAAGGCCACGAGCTCCAGCCGGGTTATCTTATTATATATTTGAAAATTGCAGGTAAATAGGACATGCGAAAAATAATAATAATAATTTAGAATTATTTATCGCCTAATTGTAAAGAACAAATAGACCCTCTTACCCAAACACCTTAATTATGCACAACGCCTTTGGCTAAATCAGCTTCTTATTCGCTCTTTACCAAAGCATACCATTCTCCTGGAGTATGCTTACTGTTTTTTTCCATTTCTCATTGGTATCAAGCCAGGAGGATATGATCCCATCTTCCTCGAGAGAACGGCGAATTATTTCTTCTCCTATCAATCTTTCCCGTACTGTCATCTCCATATATTCTTTGGGATCATCTTCTGTTTCTATAGCCCAACCACACGTTCGTGAATCAGTTTCCATCCTATCCCGAAATGCAATCGCATTGAGCCTGTCTTTTTTGGTAATGGTTACAAAGACATCTGGATCCTCACCAAGTTCGACTGCCTTTTTTCTGAGATGCTCTTCTCGCTGAGCTCTGGATAGGAGAATAGCAGATGATACTTGATTGATAGGCTTGGGTGAATCAGTTGGGATCTCTTTAGGAGGCGTATTCGTGTTTTTACTTATGGGCTTGTTAGATTCGGGAAGCTCGATAGTCTTGGGTTCATTGATTACTGGTTCAGGTCTTTTAGAAGTCTCGGATGTACCAGATGTCCCAGATGTTGAGGCGACTGGAGCATGGGTATCTTCTGCCACATAGTCAAAAAGAATCTGGGTCAATTCGTCCTATTTATCCACCTTCTTATCTTTAGTGATTCTAGATGGAGACGTATTCTTTTCTGACTGAGGCAAGATTATTTTAGGAGGAATAATTTCCAGTATAATGAATATAGGTATGTCTGTGGTCTCATTTTCGAGTAAGTCAGGTTGAGGTATATCGGAAAATTCTTCCATATCGCCTAGGCCAGATTCACAGAGCTTGGCTACGATTTTGGAATGATCAAGGATATACTGATATACTCTTTCTCCATTATCCTATGAACGCGTCCGATCAATACCAATTAATGAAAACTTCTTTCCTAGAATAGCACTGGTAAATGGTTTTTCCCCATTCTCTTCACACCATTCAAGATAATTTTGATATAGTGATTTACAACTTGGCTTCGCTACTTTATCCTTACACCATGAGGGAATATGATTGATTATAAATCTAATGGGATTAGGTAGTTGGTCTCGCATTGTATTTACTTTCATTTTAGTATTAGGAAAATCTTGTGGGTCAAAATCTGATAAATCATGGTTAAGAAGATATCTCATGACTACTCCTGGTGCATTAGAATGGTCGAGTATATTTAGTAGTCTTTTGAAATACTTTGTATTACCTCTACAGCATACTGAGACATCAAAACATAATATACGAGAATCTCCTATATCTATCTTTAGAGGAGCGTCCTGATTGCTTGTGACTATAAATCCAGAGAAATCATTTATTCTCAAAGTTTCAAGGCCTTTACATTCTATAGAGACCTTTCCTTCTGTAATGAGTGATTTAAGATGTCCGTTAAATCTATGACATTCTCCACTTGACATTCCAGTTTCATTCATAACAATAAGCTTTCGAGCTTGAAGAGGGCTATTAAAATGTCCAAGGATTTTTTCCAAATCTGATGTCGCGTAGTGAAGATGTTGCCCCAAGACTTTGTCACCAATAAAATCAGTGATAATGTTTTTTCCGCACTGTTGCAGTGTGGACTTTAGAACTAAGATTGATTGAGGCTTTTTTTCTGGCTTCTGTACTAAATATGCCCACCAATTCCAGATGTATTCATTAAGTACTTCATTTCCATCGCAAATTACATTTAATACATGCCAGAGAATCGGATCCATAATTTCTTTATTAATTTCTATTGCTGATTTAGCCAAGAATCCTAGGAAAAGATTAAAGAAATTTGTAACTGGTTTTGGAGCGTTTATGGGGTATGGGAGGAAATTGGTATCTTCGTAAACTATTAGACCTTTAGTAACCGCTTGGTCTAACTACGATTTTAACTTTACTGATTCGCCCCCATATTCGATTATTTTGATCTCAAACTTGGCGAGCTTTAGTTCAAGGCCCATATCAAAATAAAGTCCATTTTCCGAATCTTTATGTTTTAGTATCCAGAACGGGATTTTCTTTTGAATATATGCGACTGTCGATTGAATTGCTTCATAAACTTTAGCGCGGGAGAATTTCTCACCTGAAGTACACATGCATATTAAATCCCACCATACAAAATGATCATTTGGGTTTGAAATTCTGGATTGTTCTAATTTTACTGGAGCCGGAAGACCTTTTTCCCGACTCAAGGCTGTTTCACTAATAGTAAGTTTTTTCAAAGGTTTTCTGGAGCCGGGTTCCCTATCATTGTTTGCCCGGTAGCAGAAAAAGCTGTAGAATTTTTTATTTCGAATAATATATCCATGATCACTATCATGTTTTCGGTCACATATTGGGCAGTGCGATGGAGAAATGCGTGATAGTGGAAATTTGTTGGGAAAATTTTCAGATGGATATGAGAGACTATACCCTTCGATGCTAGCTTCTTGAAGTAATGTCTCTACTAGTTCGAATTCAGCTATAGTTGTCTCATTACTTATGCTAGCATATTTTACACTTTCTGTCTCTGGAACAGCCAAGAGAGTACTGTTGTCGATGACTTCTGATCCATCATTGGGTGAACGAATCATGAAATCAAAGATAGTTCCATCTTTTGGACAAATTGCTTTTTTTACACGAACGTGTTCCCCTGTTTTTTCATTATATTTAGGCGATCCAAGCATTCGCAAGGAAAATGATCCTTTGTTTGCTATATTGTCTACAATACCTTTATCCTGTAATCCTACTGGGAGTTTTTTATGAACAAGCTCAGTAAACACTGCAACCTGAGTTATACTTGAAAGTCTCATGCCGGAAGTTAAGACATGTAGAGATATTTTTTTCTTATTACTACTTTCGGCAATAGACATAGTATTTTTATCCCATTCTGAGAATATTTCTAGGTAAGTATTTCTGAAGGCACGACAAAGTATATTTTTTGCCTGACCGCCTGAAAGCTTAGGGGTAATAGCATTTAATGTTTCTATTGGTAAATCAAAGTCTATAACAGGACAAAGTGGCTCATCTTCATCAATAAATTCGTGTAAGGAATGACCTTCACGATCGGAGAGTATGGCTTCTATTTCATCTGCATTGTTCGCGCCTAGAAAATGCCTAGGTCTAACACTATCATCGCGGATTTTGTATAGGCATTGACCTATATCGGAGGCTTTGAATCCACAATAGTAGGAGGCAGGATGTCAAAGAGGAACTCTGAAAGCGAGGATTGTTTGGTCATAGTAAAAATTTTTGGATATGTTATCTAGTATACCGTCTCGGTATAATACCCTAACAAAAAAGTTTAAAATAAAAAATAAATATTATTATAGACACCAAAGATTAACTGGAATAATATCAATGAGTGGTAAATATATTTGCCAGTATCTTTCCGATGAAGGAATTGTTTGTGGGAAGGCAAGTACGCGACCAGAAGGATGTAGTATTCACTGGAAAAGGCGCCAGCGAGTTCTATGCAAACAAGATGGGTGTATAAGACCGACAGCATCGAAATATGGGTATTGTAATTGGCATGTAAATAAGTGCCATTCAAAAGCGCATTATCACCGGAAGAAATTGGATAAGATGCTTCAGGATGGGCAGGCACCAGAAGCATTGGGAGAGGCTCTCGATGAAATGAGAATGCTCGATGTGTCAATTTGGCTCTAAGATGTTGTCCTCAGAAAGTTGTCCCTAGAAAAAATGTGGGGAACACTTTTCCAGGACGTTGAAAGTAGGCTTTTTAATGTTTTTAAATCCCCAGAAGGTCTTCTAGATGGGTGTCCCTAGTATCCCTAGTGTCCCTGCGAAAAAATCAGAAATCCCAGCTTTTTTTTTATTTTTTTAGTGTATATTACGATATATCATCCATATAGTATTCATATACTACCCATATAGCATACATAAGTTTAATGCGATTAATATCACATGACAATAACAAATACTACGCTATCATATTTTCAATTTTTATGTTATAAAATGAAGTAATTTGTGTATTTTTAAAACTTGTTATAGACAATTTTCCAAGTGATTTATATTCTAAATCGAGGAATTTTATCCATTTATTACTTACTATATATAACAGAGTAATTTTTCATTTTCTTTGTATGATTGGTCAATTTGTATGTCGATCATTTCCTAATTATCAATGAGGTGATTAATTTTGATTGACTCAAATTTTATTATTAAATTAAATAACGGATAAATGGATTATATTTTTTTAGTTATTATACTAAATATATCAATAATAAATTATTAATTATATATGTTTATTATTTTGAAATTAATAAAAT